TTCTGTCCCAATGGCCTCCCCCCCACACCTTGTCCAGAGTGGCTAGAAGGGCCTCTGAGTCAGGACCCTGTCCTCAGACGTCCTAGATTTTGACTAGGAGACCTTGCCCACCGGGAAGCACACAAAGCTTCAAACCATACTACAGTGGGATTGTAGTTTCGCCTGTGGAGCGATGCCTGCACCCTGGGCTTGGCTAGAGAGCATCCTGGGCACCAGGATTTTTTTTTTCAGTCTTTTATTTTGAAATGTAGATTCATAGGAAATTTCAAAGACAGTCCAGAGAGCCCCATGGTGTCAGGATTTTTTTTTAAAACTCCCCAGGTGGAGCCAGCTCCATGGTGCAGTGGTAATACAATGCTCAGAATGTGTATTCTGCTCAAGAATGGATCCCACATGGCAACTGCACTTCGAATCCCCGGCCCAGTCAACCTGAAAGATATGCACAAGTGCCCAAGATCTGATGGGCTGGAGGACCGAAGAAAGGGGATGGGGCTGGAAAGTGGTGTGGTGGTGAAAGGCGCTGGACTCCCATGTGCCAACTGCGGTTTGAGTCCTGGACCTGATGGCTTACTTTCTCATTTCCCTCTCTCTCAATGTTTCTCTGGTCAAACTAATAATAATAATAGTAATAATAATAATGATAAATGAAGTCAAATAAAATAATTCTTTAAAAAGAAAGAAAGAAAGGATGGAAGGAAGGAAGAAAGAAAGGAAAGGGATAGTGGTGTGACCAAAATCTAGGAAGGTGCTTCTTTGTCTCTCTCCATCTCTTTTTCTCTCTCTTTCCTTCTCACTTATTCTATATGCATATGCATGAACTCTGTCATTAATAAACCAGACAGAATGAACAGCGGGGAAAAAACCCTTCCCAAGTGATTCCATTTTACAAAGTTGGGAACTTCTGACCTGAACTCTGACCCTTGCCTTTGGCTGGTCCTGGGTGGGGCAGGAGGGTCCGAGGAGTTGAGTCCCACTCTGCCCTTTTGTGGTTGTCCCTGAGTTATGCTCCTCCATGGATGGGGAGTTCTTTTCTTTCCTCATCGTTGAGCTTCCTGATCATGGTACCTGCATTGACTGAAGTCCATGCCCCTGTGGCCTCTACCTTCTACTTCCCTAGGTGGAGCCATCTGAACTGGGCCCCTCTCTTCTCTTACAGATGCAGCTGCCATCTTGCTGGACGAGCAGAACAAGCGACCTTGCAGGAAGTTTCTACTGACAGGTAAAGCACTCCGCTCAGCCCAGGTCTTTCAGGTACCAGCACTGGCCAGTCTGGCCTTCTTGGATCTCTGTAGAGGGTCTCCCCTGACCCTGGTCACAGCTGTAGCCCACTTGGAAGCCTTGGATTCAGCTGCCTGGTCAATCGGGACCTTCCCAGGGGTGGTACCAGGACCTCCCAGGGCCCAGTGTTCTGCTCTGCAGTCCTAGATGGTGAATTCCTCGGTTCATCCAGAACGAGCAAGACCTGGGAGCCCGACCTCCTCTGTGGCCTCCTTCCTGCCAGGCAGGGATGGTGTGACAGCAACAGGCCTGATGATCTGAGGAAGTTCAGATCAATACTAGAATGCTATATATTTATCTGACTGCTCCAAACTCAGCCAATAAAGATGCATATAGTTCAAAGAAATAAAAACCCCAGTAAGTGAAGAAACCAAAGGCAGATGAAAATAAGGGTAGGAAGAATAAGATAAAGCTGGGAGACATGACTTCTCTATGTTTTCCCTTGAGGCCCTGGTACTCTCTAAGAGTCTGGCTCTAAGCTTCTCGGTGGCCAAGGCAAAACTGACAATTCACATAGTGTTTAAGGGAGCTGCGCACATGACCAAAGTGCTGTTATTGAGCTGGGGAAGTTGGGTGAATGGTCGTGCCCCTTTTAGGATGTGGTGCTGCCCCCTATATAGGTACCAGGGCTGTAGATCTTTGGGTTCCCCACAGACTTCACCTTGGTGTGAATATGTGCCTGGTAGGTTACGCTGACTTGGGGCACTTCCAGTCTCCCATTATTTTAATACATAATTTGGTCTCCTCCATTGAGATCGGGAAAGCCACCCTGGACTTTGCCTCCTTGGCAAAGCTGCCATTGAAGCCTCTCTGGGGAGTAGGCCAGCTGCTCATGTGAGCCAAGTGAGGAGACAGGTGCCAGGCAGGGCAACAGCATGTGCAAAGTGATTGTGGAGCGTGACCCTTTCGGGAACCCACACAGTTCATTGAGGTAGGGGGTGGGGACTGGTGACAGCCTGAGAAGCGCATGCGACCCAATCATAGCAGGCTTCTTATTGGAGTTGATCTCCCAGCCCCAGGGTGGGGGTACAGTATTCCAGAGGGGGTTATGAGTAGGGCATGATGGACAGACAGGCTGCCCTGGCTGCCGAGTATGGGCAGGGCCAGAGAGAGTCCAATTTTTTGTTCTGCACTGGGGTTGCTTCTTCTTCTTTTTTAATGAGAGAAAGAGAGCAGAGAGAGTGGTATTGTGACAGGCTCTCACCATGTTTCATAATCCCCTGCCCCAGCCTCCCAGTCAGCTTGCTTCTCATGTGCCACCACACCCAGCCTGGTTAGTTGGGCCAAAAACTGACCTCCAGCCTTCTACTGGCTTCAGATACTGTGCAGGGATGCCCTCCTGCTTGCACCCCTATTCCTGGGCCTGGCATTGCCCTTGTGCCCATAAACTCTGGGAATCCTCATGAGGGTGGCCCTCAGCCACAGTGAGTGCCTCCCCTGCCTCCTGAGCAGTGAGTAACTCTGTCTTCCTGTTGCAGGCCAGTGTGACTTTGGCTCCAACTGCAGATTTTCCCACATGTCAGAGCGAGACCTGCAGGAGCTGAGTATCCAGGTGGAGGGTGCGTCTTGCGGAGAGTACCTGGGCTTGACAGGAGTCGAGTGCTGTGGGGGCAGGATCTGAGACTACCCCCTGCCTTCCCACCTCTTCCTCATCGACAGCCACCATGTCCTGGGTGGTAGGGGAAATCCTGAGCCCCAGTTTGGGGTCAGCCTCCAGATTACAAAGGCCTGAGTAGAGAAGGGGCGGGCCTCTGTCCCCTGAGAGCGTAGATGTGTGGCTTTCTACTTAGGAGTCCTGAGGATACCTCAACCTCACCTACCCTACTCTAGCTGGGTGCACTCCCTCCTCCCCTCAGTCAGGCAATATACCGAGTCCCTACTCAGGACCAGGCAGATCCCCTACGATGCCGTGGGGACAGGAGGATGAAGAAAGCACCATCCCTGATCTCAGGATTCTTCCAGAAGGGATCGGTTTGGCTGCCATGGACACTGGCATGTTTGCCTTCAGGAAACTCACTACTCTCCAAACAAAGAAAGAAGTTCCAAACAAAGAAGTTCCTACTTAGATGATTTTTAATTTTTAAAAATTTTTTAACTTTAAATTTTAAAAATCTTGCTCTAGGATGTATGTACTCACTGGAGAGGGACAGAGAGGGAAAGTGAGAAAGTATCTCCCTCCCCCTGGGGGAATGGGGGAATAGCCATATTGCAATCCTTTCTCCTCCATTTTCCTCTCGGGATTTTGGGCACACATGCACATGTACCCAGCATGTTTTTCAAGCAGCTGGGTTTGAGACTCAAACTATGCAATTGGCCGTGTGGGATCCAGCCACCTTAACCACCACGTCACTGACTGGCCCCTAGATAGTCTTTATTGATCTTCTCCCACAACCCCTCATTGAACAAGTGAAGAAACTGAGGCCAGTACTCAGGCAGAAGGACCTGAAGTAGACTCCAGGTCTCCCACAGTGCTCTTGCTCACGCTTCTCTGTCCAGCTGACCTCAGGGCAGCTTGGTCTTGCTCTGGTCCTCCAGAGGCCATAACTCCCCTCTGACCAATCAGACCCTGTGGGCTTTGTGCCCTGCCCTGGGGAGCTGCGGCTCCAACACAGGGTTTCCTGGCACTTTCCCAGGATAGAAGCGAGGCCTTGTGGGATCAGCCAACAAGTCCTAGCAGTGGTGGCGTCTCCAGTTCCTCACTGGCCATGGGCTTGCAGGGAATGGTTGGCTATGGGGGAGAGCACGAGCCAGTGGGCTGGGAGCTGGAGGTCACGCCTGGTGGAAATGGGGATAGGAAGAGGCCTGAGGGAGGCTGGGGTTATACACGGGGCTTAACCTCTTGGGGGCAGCATCCTGACCTGTCAAGTGTGGCCACTTATGAAGATGACCTGCGATGCCCATGCCGTGGTAGCCAGGGGCCTGGCCCCGAGAGAGCACTGGTCCATGAGTTTGTTTGTTCCCTCCGTTTGAAGGCCCCATCCCAGGCCAGCCAGAGACGCTGATTCCACCACACATGCACACCCAGCTTGTAGAAACTCCACGCCTTGTTTTGTTTTGTTTTAAGAAAGATTTTTGCTATAGGGCACATACATTCGCAGGAGAGACAGAGACAGACAGAGAAACAGAAAGAGAGAAATCACCCACCAGAGGGTATGGCCACACCACAATCCCTTCTTCTCCATTCTCCTCTCAGGATCTTGAGCATGCATACACATGTGCCTGGCATGAGTTGAAAGCCACTGGGCCCAAGACTTGAATCATGGTCGACTACATGGGAGACCAGCAACATAACCATTACATCTGCTGGTCCCTCGTTTTGTTTTCTAATGCATATGAGCAAGGACCCCCAATCCTATTTCTTCTGATTCTCTATCCCACCATCCCATCAGAATTCTGGGGTTGTGCACACCCAGGATCTTTTTCAAACTGCCAGGTGGGGACTCAAACTCTGGTCAGCCATGCTGCATCTGGTCTGCTCTGCATAGGGCCTAACTGCCACACTACAGGACCAGCCCAATCATTTGGTGTTAGTTCAGTGAGGAACAGTTTTAGTAGGACATCTTATGACAAGAAAAATCAGGGCAGTTAAGCTCATGATCCTGCCCGAGGTTGCAGAACTGAGATCCAGCCCTGTTCTGCAGGCCAAGCTGTCCCCCTGCACTTGTGTGCAATGCAGGGAGTGTGAATCCTTTTGTGGGCCAGGCTCTTTACACATGTTATCCTGTCCCTGACTCCCCAGCACTCAGGGCAGCCAGCGTTGTCTCCATTTGACAAGGAAATGCAGGTGACTGGAGCAGTAGTGACATGGTGGGGACAAGTTATTAGCTCAAAAGGTTCCCCAAAAAGGTTGTGGCAACATCCCAGGGCCTACTGCCTTGTGGGAGGATGGGGTTCAGGAAGGCAGGAGTATGCCCCTCACTTGCCTCTGTCTCCCTGTCCCCCACAGAAGAGAGGCGGGCCAGAGAGTGGCCAGTGGACACCCCGGAGCTCCCTGAAGGCCATCTGGAAGACTGGCTGGAGAAGAGGGCGAAGCGGCTGAGCTCAGCCCCAAGCAGCAGGTAAGGCCCAGGGTCTCTTTCTCTGTGACTGCTGGGAGCTGAGCCAGCCTGCCCTTTTCAGAGGCTGGGGCACCTCTAGGAACTGCCCAGGCTCAGGGCTAGATGCAGCCCTCCCATGGAGCTCCCTGAGGGTAGGGCCATGTGGGGGGCTCTTGGGTTCCCAGGCCCTGGCCAGAGTCTAAGGGGCCGTGCATTGGAAGGTGTGTCATCCCAGGCCTCATTCCCTCCATTAGTGCCTCCTCCCTTATTGGAGTCTGTGCCTGTTGATGGAGGCGGGAGGCCAAGCAGGTTTAACTGTACCAGGTCACTGCTAGAGGAGGAGTCCGAGCTGTAGGTACAGAGCCCCTGATATGCCAGTCACTGCACCTACTACCTGCTGTCCCTTCTAGGGCCCTCCAAAAGGGGAAACTAAGACTCATCAGAAGACTGTGACCTGCCCAAGGGCACGCAGCTAGGAAAGGGCAGAGCTGGTTTGCAGAGGGATGTGATGACAAAGTCATTGTCCTACTGCCCTCCTAAGGAAGGGGTTTATGGGTTGGCCCAGCACTCGGGGTGCTCAGAAGTGACAGAGAGCCATTCGCCTCTTGTACAGGGATTATGCGTCCCAGGTCCT